CGCGCGCGCGCGCGCGTAAGTGGCGCTAATCTACCCACTCCTGGGTGACTGTGTGTGTTAATCTACTCAAGTGGCGCTAATCTACCCACTCCAGGGTGACTGTGTGTGTGTTAATCTACCCAATTCAGAGTGTGTTAATCTATCCATACCAGAGGGTGTGTGTGCACGCGCACTCATCTGACCACTCCAGTGTGTGTGTGAGCTCGCTCGCACTCATTTACTCACATCAGAGTAACAAAGTGCACAAATGTGTGTGCTAATCTACCCACTCCAGTGTGTGCGTGCGTGTGTATGCGCGCGCTAAACGATCCACTCCAGTGTTGCGTGTGCGCATGCACTAATCTACCCACTCCAGAGTGTGTGTGTGGGGGGTGTGTGTGCTGCTAATCTACCCACATCAAAATAACAAAGTATGTGTGTGCCAGAGGCGCTAATCTACCCATTCTAGAGGGTGCGCGCGTGCGCTAATTTACCCACATCAAAGTGACAAAGTATGTAAATTTGTGTGTATGTGCTCTAATCTACCTGCATTAAAGTGTGTGTGTGTGTGTGTGTGTGTGTGTGTGTGTGTGTGTGTGAGAGAGAGAGAGAGAGAGAGGGAGAGAGAGAGAACGCATGCTAATCTACTCACATCAAAGTCAGAGTATGTGTGCACACTTGCGTGGTAACTGACACGGTCAGACACCGGACTACGAAAGTACCTGTCTAGGAGCCCATTATGTTCAGAGCAACCGTCCATGGGGTTTCCTAGGCTGTGAAGCTGGCTAGGAGCCTAAAGCTTTACCCTCTGTGCTACCAGCACTCCTGTATTCATATAGTCTAGACACCAGCCGAGGGAATTATCCTGGGGCGACACCTCGTTGGTCTCCTGCTGGCTAAGCGGGTGAGCCTGGCCTTACTGGATGGAGTCATGGCCCCAAGGAGGTGAAGGAAGTCAGAGGCCAGCCTGGCCCCACGTGGGTGGCAGAAGAGCTGTTTTCCTGGCCTCAGGGTTCATCTTCCCTAGGGAAAGGGAGTCAGGGGTTGGGGGTGGAAGAGCAGGGAGGGAGGGACTCTAGCTCACTATCTTGCTCTTCCAGGCAATGTTGATAAACCAAAGTCCCCCCTCTGACTCCAGCAGCATTCCAGACACGCTTCAGGACCAGCTTTCCTGGTCTGGAAATGGACCGGGGGAAGCCTGAGGCTCTAGCTTATTCCTTCAACAACATCTTAGCAGGTGCCTTTCATCTGAAAGAGTTGTGGGGGCAGAGAAGAGGAGCTGAGAATGCTGGTCGCTGTAGGATGAGGTCACCTTCTTCTTCAGAGCTCCAGGATCCTTCCCATTCCCTCACTGGTCCGGGAAGACCTGGAAGGGGCAACTCCACATTTCAATTCTTCTGTATTCTGTGAGACAAAAATCAAATGGGGAAGACCCAGCAGAGTCTGTGGTGTGGATGTGATTTGCTTTAGATGAAGATCAAGGATGGAGACCATGGTCTAGAGAGGTTTTTGAGCATCACACAAAGCTCAGTGAGGCCTCCAGATGTCAGGGAGCTCACGCATTGCGTGGGCATTTTGTTTGGAAGAGCTAGCCTTTGGGCAAAGACATGATGCTTGGAGAGGTGGAAAGTCATGAAGAAAGGGAAAACTCTCAATGAGACGGACTGGTACAGGAACAGTGGGCTCAGATAGAGCACATGATTACCTCGCTTGTGGAGTTGGGGGTTCTCTTTTTGCTCCTTGCTCCCCATAACAGTAAGATTGAATCAATTCCACTTTGGGTGTAAATAAGATACAAAAATCTGAGACACTTTCAGATGATTTGCAAACCTCCTCTATCCCTGGTGGGCTCTGGAGGGAAATGCAATGTGCAGCTTCTGGTTCCACCATTGAAAAGTCCGTGGAGATGTTTCAGCAGAGGCTGGTGGAAACCTTGCGTGTTTATTTATTAGGAATTGAGGCGGGAAGGTAGAGGGCAGGGATTAGGGGTCTGATGAGAGACGGTCCAGAAGGGAACCAGATGGGGGCTCTATTTTTACCAAGAAGAGCAGGAGAGTTGGTTTTGTTATCCCAGATTAGATTTTTTTCAACAAAATTTTTAATTTATTATTAATTTCAATGAAAATTTATAGAGACTTTGGATTTCCATTTATCCATTGTTGCACTTTTCTCCCCTCCC